AATTGACATATATTGAATAATAAATGAATAATTTCATAACTTTAAAAGCATAAGAGCATTTTGTCTAAAAAAAAAAAAAACCAAATGGGGCCAGAAGTCAGTAACACAGTGAACAAGGTATTAGTGCTCTTAACGTGTAAAAATTTCAAATATGGAAAATGGATATAGAATAATTTAAAATAAACCTGTGTATGTTAGCAAGCACTTTAAAATGATCAATGTAATGCCAATTTTGTTTCATCTGTTTAGTCAACTAAACTTTCCTGCCTAATGTCTCCTTTTCCCTCTGCACGGGTTTGCCCTGGCAAGTTCTGAAATTGTGCTTATTAAGCTAGAGGCACAGGGGAACATCACAAGGTGGAAAGCAGGGACTCAGCTCAACCAGGTCCCCACTGCAAGGTCTCAGACGGGAATAGGTTGAAGCTCAGGACACACAGAATCTTTACATATAAATTAACTGTCACTCAACAGTGGACATTTTAATTACAATGTGAGAATACTCTATTACTAAAAGTGGCCACTTTTACCATTTGTAAATGACCAAAAATGTTATAGCACACTCTGAAGCTATAAACCAGGACCAAGGAAAGAACTGCTACATGGTACAGGCAAGATGAATAAAGGAGTAAAAATATTGTTGTGTTTTAACCACACCCCATGAGTAGTCTCACCGCTAATCTATCAATGGGTAAACATGGACTGAGTTTTGCTAGGTGCCAGGTACTCTGCCAAGTATGTTACATGTGGTAACTCACTTATCCCCTACCACCCTAGGACCTGACTGTTATTCCATTCACTATTGATTTGAAAAATTTACCTTCTAGAAGTTCAACAACTTACCGGAGGAATTAGAATCTAAGTTGATCTGAATCTGGAGTCGATGATCTTATCTAAGATTAAATACTCTCCTAGGGATCATAGGAAGTCCAACTTCCTTAGCATAATATGTATCAATTCCTTTGTGATATGGTACTTTTTTAAATCTTTCAAGTGTATTTCTTGTCATTTTCTATTACACTCTCGCTCCCCTAGATAAAATAGTTTAATTCCCTAAAAGATCTCTGTTTCTCATACTTTCATTAATTAGAACATGAAAGACACATTTGTGAAAGATGAGATTTAAGTTGGACTTTGAGAAGTATATGATGTAATTTCCATAAATTTAATGAAAGGAAAAAATATTCAGAAACAGCTGGGTGTCTACTATTGAACATAAGATGAATGTCATGAAAGACAGGAGTTAAGAATACGGAGAATCAAATTTTGTGCTACTTAGACTTTTACTTGATTTAAAAAAGAAAAAATATATTAAAAAATATCAATAATCTCACACATGTAGATGACACGACCCTTAAGGCAGCAAGCAAAGAAGAACTAAAGAGCCTCTTGATGAAAGTGAAAGGGGAGAGTGAAAAATTTGGCTGAAAACTAAGATCATGGCATCTGGCCCATCACTTCATGGCAAATAGGTGGGGAAACAATGGAAACAGTGACAGACTTTATTTTCTTGGGCTCCAGAATCATTACGGACAGTGGCTGCAATCATGAAAATAAAAGATGCTTGCTCCTTGGAAGAAAATCTATGACCAACCTAGATAACATGTTAAAAGCCAGAGACATACTCTGCTGACAAAGGTCTGTCTAGTCAAGCTCTGGCTTTTCCAGTAGTCATGCATGGATGTGAGAGTTGGACTGTAAAGAAAGCTGAGTGCAGAAGAATTGATTCTTTTGAACTGTGGTGTTGGAGAAGACTCTTGAGAGTCCCTCGGACGGCACGGAGATCAAAGTAGTCAAACCTAAAGGAAATCAGTCCTCAATATTCATTGGAAGGACTGATGCTGAAGTGGAAACTCCCAATACTTTGGCCACCTGATACGAAGAACTGACTCTTGGAAAACCCTGATGCTGGGAAAGGTTAAAGGCAGGAGGAGAAGCAGATGACAGAGGATGAGATGGTTGGTAAGCCGACTTGATGACCATGAGTTTGAGCAGGCTCCGCGTATTTGTGATGGAGGGGAGGCCTGGCGTACTGCAGTTCATGAGCTTGCAAAGAGTCGGACCCAACTAAGCAACCAAACTGAACTGAACTGAACTGAAAAAAGAAACAAAAAGCCCCAAATGGAGTCAGCTGTTCTGAGACCACTTCAGCAAACCAAGACCAAGTACCTAATTTAAATACACCATCTCCAAGCGATGTAGTCTTTAATCAATCTGCAATTTTCTAGTCAGCACCAGTGAGGTAACCTGACACATAGACCCAGACCATTCCTCACACGCAAGTGACCTAAGCCTGAAACAATCCACTCTTTCCCCTTCAGCATATAAATTTCTCCTGTTTTGTACAGCTCTTCTCCACTTGATAAATGGGATGCTGCCCAATTCATGACTCATTCGATGAAACCAATTAGATCTTCAAATTTACTAGGTTGACTTTTTGATAGACAACTTCAGTATATGAACTTTATATTCAGATATATGCATGTATTATTCTACACATATACTTATATCCATTGTAAAAGTAAACTGCACCCAGTGGATCATTTCACACAAAGCAGGAAGTACACCAGGGGTTTTAAAAGGAACTATTTAAAAAATGCCAATTCTTCAAGAAGTAATAACAATGCTATGTGTGTAGCATAAATCTTTTCTGATATAAAAACTTTATTTTTAGCCACTTCTAGAAGAGTTCATGAATTTGCAATAGTCTTTCCCCTTTTACACTAGATATGAGACTCCACTTCTTCCCCAAGATTTCCTATTACCCAGAAGTCTATAGATCTATTCTTGGATCTTCATTAATTGTGTGTAAACTTCAAGCACGTGATGTATGCATGTCTCCATATTATGTTCAAAACTAAGTATAACTAATAACAATTTTAATGAATTAATTTCAAAAAGTAAAAGTTTTAAGATACTGTCTAAATAACATTGACAATTTTGCACATGTGTGTTTAGAAGGTGGTGTGCAATTGATTGATAATCAATTTCAGTAGCAACAGAAGCACAGTCTCCATGGCTCTGCTCTCTCCAGGGAATGTCTTCCTCTCTATTATAATGATGGGAAGTTGCCTGGAAAGAGCTCCAGAGGTGTGTGCAGAGTAAGCAAGCTAACCACCATCCATCTGAGAAGACTTGCCCATGGGATTACAGGGAAAAGGGAGCCAACAAGTCTGTTCGTCCTAGATCTGTGATCATCAATGAACTTCTCATTAAAATCCCCAAGAACCTCCACAACTGGATTGCCATTCCTTCTGGAAAGTAGTACTTTGCTGTTTAAGTGAGGGGGAAAAAAGAAAATCAATTTTAAAAGTTGAGGAAATCCAGAGCTACTTGCCTTTAGCAGTGACCAAAAGCAGTTTTTCATGTATAAACTGACATTTATTCTTAATTATGGAATACTTCCTAGCTTCATCTCTTTGCAGATATAAATCCTTTTATCCTCATCTTGATTAAGAACAGAAACATGAAAGGGAGCAAGAGCAGTTTCAGTGTGGTGTCTGCTTGGAAATGGTTGGTTTTTCTTGTAACATAAATACACAAGTAAATAGTGTTACATTGTAGAGTTACATCAAGCAAAGTGAGGCCACTCACCTGCTGTCTTTTCCCCAGAAGATGTTGGATCTTTCAAAAGCATAGTTGTTTTACACTTTACTGAATAACAGAGGAAGCGAGGTAAGGTCAATGTCAATTTTGGTGCATCATAACACTCGGGGTTTTAATTTTACCACCAATATGCGTGGACAGATAGAAAAATGCTAACCAGTGCGACCACCAAGATCAGTGTCCTTCTTTTGCTATAGTTCTGGAAATAATTATCATCCTCTATGCAGAACACATGAAAGTTTTGTCTTGGCCAAAATTTAAGATGCAACTGATTATTTCTGTGGATGCCAAAGAAAATGAGCCACTTCTTCTCTCTAAACTGGACTGAGCAATAATTGCCTGAGAGGTGCTATAAAGGTGAGGAATTCTTAGAAGTAAGTTCAATTTTCTTGCTAGAATACTTAAGTGGAGATCAGTAATTGTCATTGAATGGTTTTGTTGTTTATTCAGTTGTTTTTAAGCAACTTGTTTAGATTCGATCTCCAAGATAAATGACAGTACCAGTTTTGAAGACTTCAAAATTGACCATTCAGAAGTACAAATTTTCATACTTGTGTTTCTTAATCTTTGCAAGTTAATAGTGTAAAGACACTGATAAATTCAACATAACTTACTTGAGGGAAGGTCATTGGATTGCATTAGTGGCTGAATTCATGTACTCTTGTAACAAAACTACATTAAAGCATGTGAACTATCCATGTTATATAGGGTAGAACTTGCTTATTGGGGATTGTAAATAGAATTTCCTGGAGAATATATTCACAAAATAGCAGACCTGTGACTCAAATGGGGAGATATCAGAAGTTTTCCTCCACACCTACTAGATCAGTAATTATTTGCTTCACAGAAAAACAATGAATGCTAATGTAATTATCTCTAACACTTTATTTTTGAAAATTCTAACAATTTCTATTTTGTTCCATATTTTGAATTCTATATGCCTTGTTTCTCAGACTCTTCCTCACTCAATGTATTTGTCAATATTTTTCTTTTATATCTGTCATCTATCATGTATGTATATGTGTAACAATCATCTTACTTTCCATTTCTTTGGTTTTTCACACTATGCCCATTGATGGCCCATGTATTTTGTCTTCAGAGAATTTGCGATACTTCTCACATTTGTTCTGGGCTATTCTCTAAAGTCTATTCTATGTTTATATATTTCCTTGCAATGCATTTGGTGCTTTCAGATTCTGTGTGTCTCTTTGTAACAAGACAACCTATTATACTATTTATTTTGCATAATTTTACTTTGCTATTTCTCTGTATAAAAAAAATCCGTGTCAAAGTGCTCATTATACTTAGTTTGTTATATATTTTTGGTTATGATATCTGACTTTCTTTCCCACAGGAAGAATATAGGATGATCAAGAATGGTGACTCACAATTAAGCAATGAAAAGAACAAATGCTAGCACTCTGACAGGTTTCATCCTACTGGGCTTTTCTGACCAGCCCCACCTGGAGATGGTTCTCCTTCTCGTCGTCTCTATCATATACATTCTGACACTGATGGGGAACACAGCAATCATACTCGTCTCATACTTTAACCCCAAACTCCACACGCCCATGTATTTCTTCCTCTCCAATCTCTCCTTCCTGGACCTCTGTTTCACCACCAGTATTGTCCCACAAATGCTTTGGAATCTCAAGGGGCCTGACAAGACCATTAGCTACACTGGTTGTGTGATCCAGCTGTTTGTTGCTTTGGGGCTGGGCTCCACAGAGTGCATCCTGCTGACTGTTATGGCCTATGACCGCTTCAGTGCTATCTGTCGACCCCTCCACTATGGAGTCATCATGCACCCAAAGCTTCTCCGGCAGCTAGCAGCTCTGGCCTGGATCAGTGGTTTTGTTGAGTCCACGGTTCAGACCATCCTTGTTTTCCAATTGCCTCTTTGCAGCCATCACATGATGGATGATTTCATGTGCGAGGAGCCTGCCCTGATTAAGATTGCCTGTGTGAACACAACCTTCCTGGAAAATGAGCTCTCCATAGCTTCTGTTCTCTATGTAGTTATACCTCTAGGGCTTATTCTGATCTCCTATTTCTGCATTGTTAGGACTGTGCTGAAGATAAAATCCGCTGAAGGCNAAAATAAAGTCTGACACTGTTTCCACTGTCTCCCCATCTATTTTCCATGAGGTGATGGGACCAGATGCCATGATCTTAGTTTTCTGAATGTTAAGCTTTAAGTCAACTTTTTCATTCTCCTCTTTCACTTTCATCAAGAGGCTTTTTAGTTCTTCTTCACTTTCTGCCATAAGGGTGGTGTCATCTGCATATCTGAAGTTACTGATATTTCTCCCGGCAATCTTGATTCCAGCTTGTGCTTCCTCCAGCCCAGAGACTATTGGTACCAAGCCAAGCTTTGCAGAGTAAAGAGAAGGCATACAAACTTAAAATTTTGCTCCTCAAAGGAGACACTTGTCCTTACTGTGTGAGCTGCTGTGTGAGTCGGCCATCACAGTGAGTTCCAAGGCAGCAGATGGATCGTTGTTTAGTTGCAGAGTCGTGTGTGACTCTTTGTGATCCCATGGACTGTGCCCACCAGGCTCCTCTGTCTATGGGGTTTCCAGAGTAAGAACACTAAAGTGGGTTGCCATTTCCTCCTCCAGGGGATCTTCCTGAACCAGGAATCAAACCCATGTCTCTTTTATTGGCAGGTGGATTCTTTACTACTGAGCCCCACCAGGGAAGTCCTTGAGCATCTTGCTCTCTTTCTGTAGACAATGATTGAAATTAAACTTTATTTGTATGTCAATAAAGCAGAAATAGATGTTTTTCTGGAACTCTTGCTTTTTTGATGATCCAGAGGATGGTGGCAATTTGATCTCTGGTTCACGTATTGCTGAAGCCTGGCTTGGAGAATTTTGAACATTACTTTACTAGCATGTGAGATGAGTGTCATTGTGTGGTAGTTTGAGGACTCTTTGGCATTGCCTTTCTTTGGGGTTGGAATGAAAACTGACCTTTTCCAGTCCTGTGGCCAGTGCTGAGCTTTCCAAATTTGCTGACATATTGAGTGCAGCACTTTCACAGCACCATCTTTCAGGATTTGCAATAGCTCAACCAGAATTCCATCACCTCCACTAGCTTTGTTCATAGTGATGCTTTCTAAGGTCCACTTGACTTCACATTCCAGGATGTCTGGCTCTAGGTGACTGATCACACCATCGTGATTATCTGGGTCATGAAGATCTTTTTTGTGCAGTTCTTCTGTGTATTCTTGCCACCTCTTCTTAATATCTTCTGCTTCTGTTAGGTCCATACATTTCAGTCCTTTATTGAGCCCATCTTTAATGAAATGTTCCCTTGTTATCTCTAATTTTCTTGAAGAGATCTCTAGTCTTTCCCATTCTATTGTTTTCCTCTATTTCTTTGCATTGATTGCTGAGGAAGGCTTTCTTATCTCTCCTTGCTATTCTTTGGAACCCTGCATTCAAATGGATATATCTTTCCTTTTCTCCTTTGCTTTTTGCTTCTCTTCTTTTCACAACTATTTGTAAGGGCTCCTCAGACAGACATTTTGCTTTTTTGCATTTCTTTTTCTGGGGATGTTCTTGATTCCTGTCTCCTGTACAATGTCATGAATCTCTGTCCATAGTTCATCAGGCACTCTGTCTATCAGATCTAGTCCCTTAAATCTATTTCTCACTTCCACTGTATAGTCATAAGGGATTTGATTTAGGTCATACCTGAATGGTCTAGTGGTTTTCCCTACTTTCTTCAATTTAAGTCTGAATTTGGCAATAAGGAGTTCATGATCTGAGCCACAGTCAGCTCCCGGTCTTGTTTTTGCTGACTGTATAGAGCTTCTCCATCTTTGGCTGCAAAGAATATAATCAATCTGATTTCGGTGTTGACCATCTGGTGATGTCCATGTGTAGAGTCTTCTCTTGTGTTGTTGGAAGAGGGTGTTTGCTATGACCAGTGCGTTCTCTTGGCAAAACTCTATTAGCCTTTGCCCTGCTTCATTCTGTACTCCAAGGCCAAATTTGCCTGTTACTCCAGGTGTTTCTTGACTTCCTACTTTTGCATTCCAGTCCCCTATAATGAAAAGGACATCTTTTTTGGGTGTTAGTTCTAAAAGGTCTTGTAGGTCTTCATAGAACCGTTCAACTTCAGCTTCTTCAGCATTACTGGTTGGGGCATAGGCTTGGATTACCGTGATATTGAATGGTTTGCCTTGGAAACGAACAGAGATCATTCTGTCATTTTTGAGATTGCATCCAAGTACTGCATTTCGGACTCTTTTGTTGACCATGATGGCTACTCCATTTCTTCTAAGGGATTCCTGCCCACAGTAGTAGATATAATGGTCATCTGAGTTAAATTCACCCATTCCAGTCCATTTTAGTTCGCTGATTCCTAGAATGTCGACATTCACTCTTGCCATCTCCTGTTTGACCACTTCCAATTTGCCTTGATTCATGGACCTAACATTCCAGGTTCCTATGCAATATTGCTCTTTACAGCATCGGACCTTGCTTCTATCACCAGTCACATCCACAACTGGGTATTGTTTTTGCTTTGGCTCCATCCCTTCATTCTTTCTGGAGTTATTTCTCCACTGATCTCCAGTAGCATATTGGGCCCCTACCGACCTGGGGAGTTTCTCTTTCAGTGTCCTATCATTTTGCCTTTTCATACTGTTCATGGGGTTCTCAAGGCAAGAATACTGAAGTGGTTTGCCATTCCCTTCTCCAGTGGACCACATTCTGACAGACCTCTCCACTATGACATGTCCATCTTGGGTGGCCCCACATAGCATAGCTTAGTTTCATTAAGTTATACAAGTCTTAGGTCCGTGTGATCAGATTGGCTAGTTGTCTGTGATCTTATCTAATATGGAAAACTCTCCTAGGTATCATAGGAAATCCAACTTCCTTAGCATAATATATATCTGTCCTTTTGTGATATGGCCCTTTTTTAATTTTTTCAAGTATATTTCTTGTCATTTTCCATTATACTCTTTCTCCCCTAGATATAATAGAGTACTTTAATTTCCTAAAAGAACTCTGTTTCTCATACTTCAATTAATTAGAACATGAAAGACACATTTGTGAAAGAGGAGATTTAAGTTGGACTTTGAGAAGTATGTGGTGTAATTTCCATAAATTTAATGAAAGAAAGAAATATTTGGAAACTGCTGGGTTTCTACTGAATGAACGTAAGATGAATATTGTGAGAGACAGGAGTAAGAGTATGGAGAATTGAATTTCATTCTATTTAGACTTTTACTCAATTTTAAAATAGAAACAATATATTAAAGAAATATTAATAACCTCAGATACACAGATGACACGACTGTTATGGCAGAAAGCGAAGAAGAACTAAAGAGCCTCTTGATGAAGGTGAAAGATTAGAGTGAAAGAGTTGGCTGAAAACTCAGCATTTCAGAAAACTAAGATCATGGCATCTGGTCTCATCAGTTCATGGCAAATAGGGAAGAAAGATGGAAACAATGGCAAACTTTATTTACTTGGGCTCCAAAATCACTACGGATGGTGGCTGCAGTCATGAAATTAAAAGATGCTTGCTCCTTGGAAGAAAAGCCATGACCAACCTAGACAACATGTTAAATAGCAGAGGTATTACTTTGCTGACGAAGGTCAGTCTAGTCAAGCTCTGGCTTTTCCAGTAGTCATGTATGGATGTGAGAGTTGGACTATAAAGACAGCTGAGCACAGAAGAATTGATGCTTTTGAACTGTGGTGTTGGAGAAGACTCTTGAGAGTCCCTTGGACTGCAAGGAGTTCCAACCAGTCAATCCTAAAGGAAATCAGTCCTCAATATTCACTAGAAGGACCGATGCTGACGTGGAAACTCCCAATACTTTGGCCACCTGATGAGAAGAACTGACTCTTGGAAAAGACCCTGATGCTGGGAAAGATGGAAGACAGGAGGAGAAGCAAATGACAGAGGGTGAGATGGTTGGATAGCTGACTTGATGAACTCAAGTTTGATCAAGCTCTGCGTGTTTGTGATGGAAGGGAGCCCTGGCGTGCTGCAGTCCATGACCTGCAAAGAGTCAGACACAACTGAGCGACCAAACTGAGCTGAACTGAAATGAAAAAAGAAACAAAAGGCCCCAGATGGAGTCAGCTGTTCTGAGACCACTTCAGCAAACCAAGACCAAGTACCTAATTTAAATACACCATCTCCAAGCGATGTAGTCTTAATCAGTCTGCAATTTTCTAGTCAGCACCAGTGAGGTAACCTGACACAAAGGCCCAGACCAATCCTCACATGCAAGTGACCTAAGCCTGAAACAATCTACTCTTTCCCCTTTGGCATATAAATTCCTCCTGTTTTGTACAGCTCTTCTCTACTTGATAAATGGGATGCTGCCCAATTCATGACTCATTCGATGAAACCAATTAGATCTTCAAATTTACTAGGTTGACTTTTTGATAGACAACTTCAGTATATGAACTTTATATTCAGATATATGCATGTATTATTCTACACATATACTTATATCCATTGTAAAAGTAAACTGCACCCAGTGGATCATTTCACACAAAGCAGGAAGTACACCAGGGGTTTTAAAAGGAACTATTTAAAAAATGCCAATTCTTCAAGAAGTAATAACAATGCTATGTGTGTAGCATAAATCTTTTCTGATATAAAAACTTTATTTTTAGCCACTTCTAGAAGAGTTCATGAATTTGCAATAGTCTTTCCCCTTTTACACTAGATATGAGACTCCACTTCTTCCCCAAGATTTCCTATTACCCAGAAGTCTATAGATCTATTCTTGGATCTTCATTAATTGTGTGTAAACTTCAAGCACGTGATGTATGCATGTCTCCATATTATGTTCAAAACTAAGTATAACTAATAACAATTTTAATGAATTAATTTCAAAAAGTAAAAGTTTTAAGATACTGTCTAAATAACATTGACAATTTTGCACATGTGTGTTTAGAAGGTGGTGTGCAATTGATTGATAATCAATTTCAGTAGCAACAGAAGCACAGTCTCCATGGCTCTGCTCTCTCCAGGGAATGTCTTCCTCTCTATTATAATGATGGGAAGTTGCCTGGAAAGAGCTCCAGAGGTGTGTGCAGAGTAAGCAAGCTAACCACCATCCATCTGAGAA